ATTCAAAAAAAAATGTAATTAATTAGTAATATTTTAAAGATAAATATATGATAAATTATTATGAAAAAAAAGTTAAATTTTTAAATTTATATATTTTACTATCCATTGATTTTAAAAATTTAAAAATATGATTATTTAATAAGTCTTAATGAAATAAATCCAATAAACTAAATTTTATTTTTTTGTAATTATAAGATAATAAATTATTTTAAAAAATTGAAAATTTGAAAAATTGATATATACTATCTTATCAAAGTATCTGGTCAAGTTCTTTTTAATTTTTTAAATTCAGATATATTAATTAATATAAATAAATGCTCCAGTTTTGATATATAAAATTTGTTTACTTATTTTTTATTATGATATATACTATATTTGATAATAAAAATAAAAAGATCATTACTATATAAAATTTATTATTATTTAATTTTTACTACACTATTAAGTATATTTTGAAATAAGAAAAATTGTAAATTAAATGAATTTGAGCGTGAAAAAATCATTAGACAGAAAAGATTTATAAAATCATTAATTGTATCTTAAAATTCTAAAAAATACTATTACAGATATAATTTCTCAATACAAAAATCTCAACAATAGATTAATAGTTAAAAAAACTAAAAAACTATATTTTATAAATAATGATGATTATTATAACTTTTCAAAAAAAAAATTTGATTTTTTCTTGAAAAAATTCAACAAAAATTTAATAGTTCATAAAGATAAAAATATTTTAGCTGTAATCATTTATGATTTTCAATACATGCTTCTATTTGACGTAGCATGCTTTTAATTAAATTAATATAAGTTTTAAATAGAATTTTTTTTATTTTTCTTATCAAAAATTTTTCAAGTTTATATAAATTTTTTGAAATTTTGATCATTTTCAAAGTTTCTGTTTTAGTTTATGTTACAAATGTTTAATAAGGATAGTTAACCAAATATTAAAAATTTATAATATTTATAATAAAATATAATTTTTAAATTAATCGATCAGATACTTTTGATAAGGTAGTGTATATTAATAATTATTAATTTTAAAAATTTAAAAATACTATCATTAGATATATTTTAATGACAAATTTTAATAAATTTTATTTCATTTTTTTATGATTACTAGATATTAAAATATTATAATTTTTTTACAATGTTTTATAACTAATTTATATTTACGTTTTAAGGAATTATATTTAAATAAATTGTTAGTTTATATTTATAATATAATATAATACTTTAGTAATTAAAATATTCAAAGTTAAATCTTTTTTTATATAGAATATTATATTAGTATATCTAACATATGTATTATTATCCTTTATGATCCTAATATGACATTAGTAATTTTATAATTTATAAATATAAAATAAAATAAAAAATAAAAAATAGATTTTTAAACATTAAATTTTTGTTTAAAATTCAGATTATTAATTTAGTTAAAAAATGATATTTTTTTTTGATTTTGATTTACATTAATCAATATAATTTAATAAAACTTTGTATGTGAAACTTTTAATTTTACAAGTACTTTTGTTAGGTAAATATAGTATACAGTCTATATATATATAATGAATTATCAAAAGTATTCGTATTATCTTAATTTATTAAAAGATTACTTTTTTAGTTAATCAATATTAAAATATTTTTTACAATTACGGAATCATTTAGGAAAAGGGCGTAATAATTATTACGTAAGAGTTTCAGATAAGCTTAACCTTTTTTAATATAATGAGGTAATAAATGGTTTTGTGACCTCGTTTTCGGAAATGTATAATAAAAAAAAATTCCGAAACAGGTTTATTAAGGAATGATCTCTCATTCATATGGGTTAGACAAATGCTAAACAATTTGATTGTATCATAAATACGAAAAGACTATAATATTGACAATTAAAATAACCATAGATTGTATATAGTTATTGACCATCATTATTAGTAATAAGTTGTATAGTTTATACATCACGTGACTAATATTTGAATTAATTCCTGTTCGTCGCGACCATTATTGTGCACGTATAATTGGATCATTGTACATGCATAAATCAAATTAATCCGATTGCACGTTCGTCGACATAATTAACATAACGTGCGGCATAAATAAAGATTTACATTTCTTCTTTAATTAATAATATACAAATATAATATCAAATTTATAAATTTTAAAATCTTAAAAATACAAAACTAAAAATACAAGAATATACAACATAAGAATATGATTGTGATTGTATAATTTAAATAATGATGATGAATTAAATGTTAAAAATATTTAAATCAATGACTAAAGTATTAATAATTAAGAAAAATTAAACCGGAATTTTTACTTAATTAAGAAATGATAACATTAATTGGTCCGATTTTATATAAAATATTTATTCTTATTTTTTTAATCATCTTTTTCAATTGATAACCATCTTTTCTTTTTTCGAATCGTCTAAGTTAAATTTCCTTTCATAATTTTTCTCTTGGACATTTTGATCTGTGACTTTAGGTATTACGCCAGCAACACTCATACCATCAGCAGGTTTATATATGAATTCTTCTTGACCAAAATTAACTTTCAAACTACAAACACCATCGGAACCAATTGTTGGGAACCAAATATGAATTACTCCAGTACAAATAATGCCCATATTTATGCCATTTTTAGTGAAAAAAACTTGTCCGGTATTCGGGTAATATCCACAACCTATTACGTCGTTTTCCTCACCCCATTTTTCGGCATATTTTCTGCCGGATAAACCATCATTATGGAACCTTTTACCCTCATTCGAATGATATCCAACTGAATGATTATTCCATCCAGGTAATCTATGCGTATAAAAGAAAATTAGTATTTGCAAATTACAATCAATTAATACCTTTTTGTAAGGGATACCTACCTAAAAGTTGGATATGGTTTAGTTGCAAGTCCAACCGCAATCGTTGTATCTTTATTTGGATTGGTCAGAATCGTTACTTCATAATAAAAAAACCAGCTGTCAGTTGGGGGTTGTAAAGCGAATGATTGTGGAACATACGGTGGAGGAGGAGGAGGAGCTGGTGAAAATGTTGAAGATGCAGAATTATCTATTGTGTTACAATTTGTTGGAGATGAAGGAGAGTTACGGGAGGAAAGTAATTTTGATTTTGAATGTGTAGTAATAGGGCTAATATTACTTGAATCACTCAAATTCGTTGAATCCATTACACGATTCGTATTCAAGGTCAATCTATTACTGTTTACTTTCTTTCGACTATTGTTGTTATTTGACGGGGATGTGATACTGTTAGTTGAAGATATTGAACATGAGCTAGAATTATTAACTCTAGCAATTTCGCTATCTGCTGAATATTTCATATCAATTAATGGATAATTTGATTGCACCATAGCATCCAATTTAGCATGAAAGGATAAAATAAAATCATCTGTAACATTGACAATATTTAATTGTACGATGCTTGATTCAGGTACCAATTTCCATGCTTCAACACCTCCCAATTCTTTAATATAATTTGAATGATCTTGTGGAGGTAATATTTCATTGGGTGGATTTTCTCTTGTAAATTGTTTTCCGGCTTTATAAGCTGTCCAATTTGATTCTTGTCTTAAGGCATGTTTATGTATTTCCTCGTTAAAAGTATTATTATTGTATGGAGGTGGAGTTATATCCCTTGCAGGAATTAATGAAGGATATTGTGAGTTATGGGTATTAGTATGAGCTAGTGGAGGATACTGTAGTTGTTGTTGAGCGATTATTTGATTTTGATGATTCATTTCTGTCATTTGTAATTCTTGTTGCCATTGATCAAGTATTTGTTGAGTATTCATATTACTTTCCAACCTTTCTGATGAATACTGCTTTCTAATAAGATAGCATCGTAAACATCCGCATCCACATATACACAATAATATTAGTCCCACTAATATAAATACTATATAGCAAAAATTACCACAATTCCTACTTCCGTTATTATTATAATACCAAAATACCCAATATGAATTCGAATTTCGTATAGGTGCTCCAGATACAAATGATAACATTAACGCTAAGATTGATAATATTTTGCCGAATTTTTTTATTATTCTTGACATTATGAGGTAATGATTAGGTAATATGATGATATTATAAAAAATATATAATACGCAATTATGTGAAGGTATTTAATGATATAAAATATTATTCGTTATCTAAAAGAAAGTGATGTTTGCAAAAGGATTGCTTTTTTAAGAAATGAAATATATATATACTTTATAATATACCCATTTATACTCCTATTTCTCCTATTTTGTAATATGAGCAATCTTTTTGGTTCTTTCTTTCCTTTTTTTTTTTTTTAAAAAAAAAAAGAAAAAGGAGAAAGAAAAAAAATGAGAAGGTGGAATTTGTTTTTTTTTTGTTTAGATTAAATAATATGTTCAGTAACTATTCAGTAACACGCAATTCCAAAAACAAAAACACGTTACAAAACTATTATATTATACTATACTATATGATTATTATTAATTATTATATTATATTATATTATATATATATTATATTATACGTAAAAATTTCAACATAAAATTTCAACACCCTGTTCAAAAAGCGTTCTATTTATACAAAAAAAAATAATCACGTGAAAAACAATTATATTTGTTTCTTACTTCTTTTAAGATAGTATAAAATGACGAAAAGAATTAAACAATTATATTTGTAATAATTACTAAAATCAAGTGATATGAGAATCAAGTCTAGGATAAATTTTATCCGAAAATTAAAAAAAAACTTCTTTTATTGATTTTTTTATTCATCGGACATAGACTCTATTTTAAGTAATTAAAAATTTAATATTTGATTTATAATTATTTAATAATTAATATTAAAATTTTAATTATAAGATTTTATTTATTAAGTACTTTTAATAATAAAACTTAAATAGATTATTATTATTTAAATAACTGCTTTATTTTTATTTAATAAACTTATTTTACAATTTTTAACAAATAAAATTCATCTACTTTCTGAATTTTCAACTTTTTTAAATGTTCTTTCAGATTGGTAAAATTATTATTATAATATAGTTATTTCAGCATTTTATCTGTTATATATTATTATATTTATATAATATTTTATTATTGGTACTATAATAATTATTAACATTATTATTTAATATTATTAAATTAAATTTAATTTAATAAAATTTATTAAAAGATATTAATAAATATAATGATCATATAGTATGTTTTAATTATTATTTTAAAAATTTTAAATTAATATATCTTAGTCAATAATATCTCAATTTTTATGAAATAAAAACCATAAAATTCATTTTATTAAGGTGAATTTAATAAACTTAAAATCATTTATTTTTGATCATCAGATTATAAAATAATATAATAATATTTAAATTATTATATTCTAATAAAATAATATTTTAAATAATATGAATACTTTATATTTGATTTACATAATGAGATAAATTTATAAATAAAAAATCATTAAAATCTAATCACTATATTATATTAAAATTGTTTTTTATAATAAAAAAAGTATTAAACTTTGATTTTTATTTAATAAATAAAATATATTAAAATTACATTTTAACAGATATATTTTTTTAATAGTTTAATATTATAATAATCAAATCTTTTATTTTTTAAAATTAATTAATTTGATATTATATAAGCATAATTTTAAAGATCATTAAATTTAAGATATTAACACAAATTTTTTTACAATAAAATAATTTATATAAAAAATAAATTACTAATTAAATTATAATAGATAATATTTAAAATTTAAAATTAATTTTAATATTTTGATTTAATAATTTTATATTAAATGATAAAAATTAGTAGTATATAATTGGGCTTTTTGGCACATAAAGCCCAAATGCGTCCAGAAGGTTTTCCTGAGTATCAAAAAATTATACTCATAGCGTAT